ATATTTCCTTTTCAATTCCATTATAATGAACTCTCATCAGATCTTTAACCATGGGCATTTTTAAGTCTTTTGTCATTTACAGACAGTTATTATTTTACTCTGGTCCTTTTGCAAAAGTGAGATTCTTGGAAAAGACCCTACTAAGTACTTTTTTTTAAAATTTTTTTCCCCCAAAGCCCCAGTAGACAGTTGTATGTCATAGCTGCACATCCTTCTAGTTGCTGTATGTGGGACGGGCCTCAGCATGGCGAGAGAAGTGGTGCCTCAGTGCGTGCCCAGGATGCGAACCCGGGCCGCCAGCAGTGGAGCGCGTGCACTTAACTGCCAAGCCACAGCGCCAGCCTCCCCTACTAAGTACTCTTGACCACTGACACCACTGCCAAATTTCAAGGTGTCAAACCTCGGGTGCATATTTCACAACTGAAGAAGGCTCCCCCTGACATCTGGTCCTATGTAAACACTGCAGACCTCAAAATCAAATTGATTGGAAAGAGAAGTAGCTGATATTGACGTATACTGCTTCCTCCCAAGAGGCCAGATCAAGAACGATTCCTCCCATTCCTCCCTCCCTCTCTGACCATCCTTTTCCTAATTCTTATATCATGAAAGTCTTTTATTCTTTTGTCTACCTTTTGCTTTGCCCCGGCCTGGAAAGAGAATGCTATTGTTTACATATCTCAGGCCACTACAAGGAGGGCAATCCAACCTCCAACCAACTGTTGGATTTGCTGTGATGGTGGTGATCCTGTAGTTTTTTCTGCCTGTCACAAACTTCTCTGATTTCTAATGCCTCAGTTTCTGTGGAACAAGCTCACTGGATAAACACTTCTGGGGAAGTGGAGACACAATTACATGAAATACATAAACAGGCCAACTGGCTTAAAGAAGCAGCTCCCTCTTCGGGGTCATTTCTTGACTTATTTGATTCTAGTTGGTTTGGGAACCCTGGCTAAGGAGCACTCTCCAAACCGTGGGCATTATTTTGATGCAAATTATTATTGCCTTCCTAATACACCGTGTTCCTTCAAAAGTTTTAAATGTATGTGGGCAGCCATTGACTAGCTGACAAACTGTCTGACTGGAATGACAAAAGAGAACATAAGAACATAACCAGCTCCAAGAATATGAGCCTGACATCTTCTATTTTGAATACTACTCTGAGACCTGAAGAGGCAATGGTACCTGAGAAACAAACTAAGACCGATATTTTTAATCAAACCTCTTGAATGGTCAAGAGGATGATCAAAAGGGGGGACTACTGAAATAAATTACCAGGTCCAAGATGGAGCCACTCCTGCCCAAGGTGCTACGTTAGCAAACTGAAACTTAAATAACTCTTGCACCCCTGTAAATGCTATGCTTGACCAGAAACACAGTATATCCAGTAAGCCAATCCCCAAGCCAACTCTGGGCTTCCTTATTCCTTATTCTATAAAAGCTTCCTGCCTTCTGCCCCATTTTGCAGTTCTCTGGATCCTTGGGAATGGAGACTGCCTGCCTCACGGGGTGTCAAATAAATCTTGTTTGGATCACCTAAATTGTCTTCTTTAATCATTTTTAAAAGTCTGCAGACCCATCTTAGTCATTAGAAAATATTAGGCCAAAATATTTTTGATGCAAAGATGTCTTGGCTACACATGTAAGGTTAACCGAACAACCTACCACAAACCATAATTGAAAATCCTGAAGCTGACGTTAGGAGCAATTTATAATCAAAACCAAAGGATAGCAGTGACTGAAAGCCACAGTCAACCCCTGACAACGTTGATGCTCAAGCACCTTCCCAAGGACTTCAGGAACTTTTAATACCTGTGGAGGTATCCAGGCTTAAGGAACTTTACCATGTTGTCCAGCACTGTCTAGTACTCAGGCTTCCTGGAAGATACTAGTCTACAACAAACTTTATTAACATAATTTCGATTAAATACTAAATTTGAGAAATTCTTTAAAAACTCATGTGTATTGCTTACCTTACTTACTAGTATCAGTCATTAGTAGAAATGGAAGTCAACAGATTTCAAGTCACTTACCTCTAAGAACTTTTTTGGATTCATTTCACAACCCACCAAAAGACTACAAGACAATACTAGTTGGGGTATTAAAAACGGTAATATAACCAGAATCACTGTACAAGCATATTTTGCTTCATGCAATAGGATCAAGTTTGAATTTGTCTGAATCTAATAGTTTTACACACAGAAGGGAATTTGACTTCTGTAAGTCTCTTAAAAGCACGGTCTATAACAGCAAATAAATCCTGTTAATAAGAATGCCAAAACCTTTATTTTGGACTTGTTGTATTTTGGGCTTTCTTAACATACATGGTCTTTAGTAAATCCTTAAAACAATCAGATTAGAGAACCAGCATCATTGTCAGATTGTGGCACCTGGTGGCCACTAAGTTTGTTGTTCCTGTCTTATCGCCATTCCTCCTCTTTCCTGCTAAGAAGCCCCTAATTTTCTTTGGTGGAAATGCCACTTCTCAGGTCAGTAGATTCCCATTCCAGAGGTGAGAAGTGCTTAACCCTGGTTGATCCATATAGTCTATCTCCTCCCCCAAAACAATGACAACTGGGCTTCACTCATTTGCAATGGAAAGATTCCTGACTGAATTTTCTGGCTCACTTGTCTTGGGGTTAAGGGTATTAGAGAACCTGAGTAAAGAATTCACACTCACAAGTATCCTGATACATGGCAGAGGACATTAAAATAGCCATTCTTCCACATCACCTTTGAAAACATGGGAAAGATAGAATTTTGCTAAATGTTTAACTTGTAACTTCTAAGGAAGGGTGTTTTTTTTTTTTTAGGATTTAAATTAGGACTTATTCTATTTAAAAACTCAAATTTAAGAATCAATTAGAAGCCTGTTCCCACGCCCATCAAGGTAAGGTGTATTAAATATCCAATAGCGAGTTTTTAAAATAATTTTAATTTCTAAGACTCAAAACGGTCCCAACTTTATAGGTGAAGTTAACATAGGTAAACTTTCCAAGTGACTTGTAAAATTCCCCACTCTTTGTCTTCCCCCTCATCTTCCAACAGGTTTCAGACAAGGAGAATTCTTCATGGCATTTTCTTGGTTCTCTTCCTTTCAGGGCAGTGAGAGAATCAGCAACTGAAGATATTTATTACCTTCTTCCTTCCTGTTTGCCAAGTTATTTTTTGCTTATCTTTTGAGGCTGGTTAAAGACATGTCAGAATTTTTTAAAAATTTTCCTGTTTATGGACTAGTAGCTTGTTGCTATGTGTATCAATTTTATAGAGAAACACATAAAAGTAGTTATGGAGACTCAAACTAGTTCAAGTTCTACTGAATAACGTACAGTAATTTTTCTATTAAAAATTCCTTGTTGTAAAATATTCAAGTAAAAATCCATTGAAGCTGATTTTTATTAAAATCAAAGCACCAGGTGGGGCCCTGAAATTTAAAAAACAAAATAAAACAAAGACTACTGCCTCAGATGTCCTTTACAATAAGCAAAACCTCCAAGAGGAAAGAAATCTGTGATCTGATTGACTAGCGTTATTCTCACTCAGGAACATGAGCCACCACCATGTGAATTATAACCTAGTAAACTCACATCCAAGACGAAGGAGCAATATATGTAAAAAGACATCAACCATTAATTTACAGGAGGTTATAAAATACTCTAAAAAAATATGTACATGGTTATTTAAAAGGAGGGCCACTACTTCAATAAGAAATTAGATGGTTGAACTCACGGTCATGTCCATAATTTTAATGGCCAATCAGATCACTCAATTTCTCTCATTCATAACACATACAGATAAACAAAAAATAAGTACATTTTCTATTTAAACCTAAAATCTTTTTGCTCACATGCAGCGACTTAGTTTCGGAATTCACATTAATTTGTGGAAGAGGCCTCAGCAAAAGGAGTTCCTCCTTTCATTGTCTACCTAGTCTCTCCATGGAACCCAATTTAAAAGTTTAAGCACTGTAACAGCATAGGAATTTCAAATGCAAATTCATAAATAGAGCAATTGCTGTATACTCACCCTTCTGACTGCGGAGTGAAATCTTTTTGAAAACATCCCTAAGATATAATACATCTCTACTACTGTGTGGTAGTAAAACGTGGAGCTTCTTCTTTAGCTTAGAAAAGAAAGTACAACTACCAAGTGAAGAGCACATTTTCCTTTTAGCACCTTCCAATTTCCTACCCCTCCATTCAGAAAAGATAAGCAGGACTTGTTAATTCAAAGGACAAAAATGATTGCACTGCCAGATGCTGATGAACAAATATATTCTGAATATGGCATATTATCTCAGTCCATCTATACGTCTGCCACTGCCATATAAGTCTTTGACTGTGTACTTGCTTTTCCTTATTGCCGGGAAAGATTAGATGCTTGGCACCTGGGAAAGCTTTCAACGAGTTGTAATTGAGTAAATCCTGGCTCCCACGTGGTCTCCTCATTCATAAACCCTGGCCAAATGTGTAATCATGTGATCACATTCAGTCTTGGGGGTCTTGCGGCTATGACACTGGGGTCTTGGTTCCAAATCCAGAGGGAAATCTAGAGTTTTTGATCAGAGGTAAATACTTGAGTATTTTAAGTTTAGGTCAAGGTTTCTTGAACAGCACTGAACTTTTGGGAAGATGCTCTCCACATGAGCATGGGGTATTTCAGATAAGTCTATAGCTTACTTCTATTAGAATTTAAGGACTACTTAGCTGAGATCCACCTGGGCACACAGGCACTTGTTAATAAGGTTACGGGACTTTAACCTTAAAGATCATTAGGAAACGGCTATTTGGAGAGAGAAACACTTTTAATATAATTTATATTATGTATGATTACAGGAAAGCTGGTTCTCAGCTGCCTTTCATTCAGCAAAAAATGGTAAAGGTGAAACAAATACTGTTTTAAAAGATTAATATGGCACTGAACATAACAGTGAAAGTTTTGGGTACATTAGTAGAAATTCTGGCTCAGATGCATATAGGGAAATAATATTTTCTCTCTCCTAGGTGCTACTTCCCTTTGTGATCCTCCTTAAAATCTATCTGTGTTGCCCTGTTTTAACTCAGGAGACACATATGGAAGAATAAACTGTCAGAAGAACAGCATTCTAAGATACTGACAATAAATAAACTTATTAGCAAAAGCTCCATAGCTGCTGTGCTAAAACTGCTGGAGCAAAAAAAGACAATGAAATGATATATGCAGTTATCAAAATTTGTTCAGTCTTGGGAGAATAAATGTCAAATGCATATTCAAAACAACAACAATTACCCTGAAACACATATTTGGAAAAGTGATTAAGACTTTTTAACCATTAATACATAATTGATATATTATGGACAAGACCTAAGTCTACATAAAAAGTGAAAAGCCATTGCTATTAAGTTTTCTCATATTTTATCTTTAGCAATATCTGAAAACCCAATGAATCACCACAGAATATTTTCAAATTGTCCATTTTAAGAAGTAATGCCATGTTGATAAGAAAGCAAGTCCTCTAGGTTTAATTCAAGGGAGATGATACCATGCAAAGAATAATATTCTTTCAAGTAAGCTATATTTTTACTCTACTAACCTAAGGAGAAAAATTTCATCAGCCAATTAATGTTTTATAAATAAAAATTTACTTTGGCAAACTAAAAAAATTCATGTGTAAATATTCTGTCAATGTTAGATTAGCAAATGGCACAGCAATTTTCTTCTATCTTAATCTAGCTTCCTTCTTTGACACTGAACAAGTAAAAGGAATAAATGAATGTCAGCTAAGCTAGCTAGGTCTGGCCCATTAAGAATATGCTTGCCCTCAGAAGACAGGTCTTCTGTATCTCTATCAGGAGAATGGTAATGAAATTCAGAATTAAGTCAGATCAAAGATTCAATTTGAGCTTCCAACTCTTAAATTTAAAACAGGAAATAGATGCTTCATAAAAAATTAAATTTTCCCGGGGCCAGCCCCGTGGTGTAGCAGTTAAGTGTGCATGCTCAGCTGTCGGTGTCCTGGGTTCAGATCCTGGGTGCGCACCAATGCACCGCTTGTCAGGCCATGCTGTGGCGGCGTCCCATATAAAGTGGAGGAAGATAGGCACAGATGTTAGCCCAGGGCCAGTCTCCCTCAGCAAAAAGAGAAGGATTGGCATGGATGTTAGCTGAGGGCTGATCTTCCCCACACACAAAAAAATAAATTTTCACTCTAATTCCCTCTAGCTGTCTGCTCCTAAATTCCACAACACATTTCCATTGCAAATTATGAAAACTAGTCCCTTTCAGGGGAACTTTAATATTTAATGCCCAATAGGGTATACGTTGAAGAATTCTCACATCAAATATGGCGCACACTGCTGTATTTCATATTTTGGGTAGTTTCACTAAAAGCCATACTGCAAACAATGAGTCTTGTTATAAAAGGATCACCTACACAATTAAAAACCAAACAACAAACTACACATAGACACACACAGCAAAATGAAACATGTGTACACTTACTTCTTCAGTGGAAGAAGTAACATTTAGAAAATGTATGAAAAGCAGTCTTGAAAACCTGCTATACCAAACACCTCTACAGACAAGAAGACGACAAAAACAAAAATCAAACCTTTGTTTTCCTGCTTTTTCTTTAATACAGTTGCCATCTTACAAGATATACCATCAGGTGCCTTTTTAATAGCATCTAATCTACTTTTTCGTTGCTACCAGTTGGCACCCTAGGATAGAAATCGTATTACCATTCATGTTCATGGAGTACTGCTCTTAAAGACAGTATACCTAACTCATGGTTGGGCCATAATTAGCAGATAGTGGTATTTTCTAAAAAAGGATTAATGCACACATCCAAACCACATTAAATTTTCAACTTAGAGTTCATACAAAGTCTATTTCCTTTCTATAGTAGTTATCACTCCAGATTGCAGCTTTGAAATCCAAGAAGTGGGAAGAATGTCTTTTTATTTTGTTGTTGATGCTTCTTTCTTTCTTCCTTTCTCCTCCCTCCTTCCCTCTCTTCTTTCTTTCCTTTCTCTTTTTCTTAATAAGACAATTAAAAGAGATGGGTTATTAATGAAATCAAAGTCTTTAGTAAACATCAGAAACTTATGGATCAGAGTGGTCACAAACTCTTCTTGTAATGATGTTAAATTACTGACAAAATGTTTATTGAAAACAAACAAAAATCTAAACACCAGCACACGCCAATGGTGCTGCTTATTTAAGCAACTGGCGTTCCTCTATGCTTTTCAGGCGTTTCTTCCGGGGCTGCACAAAGTCATCATCTGAGTCATCACTAAATTTATTATCTTCTGATTCATTCCTGAATTCTAGTTTAGGAAACCTTTTTTCTGGATAAAGGTTCTTTAGAAGTTCTTCAAAATAGCTTTCAAGTTTTATACCAGCATTGGCTACTTCTGAATCAGGCTGTTGGATAAAAATAAAAATATGAATTACAAAAAACACCAACATTTTAGATACTCAATAGAAGTAGTAAATTTCTCAACATTTTTGTTCTTTTTCTTTTTT